GGGTGAGGAGGGCGCGCCCGTCCCAGCCCAGAGCCGCTCGCTGGTACCCGAGCCCGTCGGCGGCGGAGGCTGGCGCGGGGTGTGCCCGGCCGCCGCCCCGGGAGCTGGGAACCGGGCGAACCCCGGTGCTTCTGCCCCCTAGATGGCGGCTGTCTGGGATCTTTAATCCGGATGTCGCAAGGACTCCGGGAGACAGCCTAGGACGGCTGTCGTTTTCGTCCACAGGAGCCTCGGTCTGCAGAGGAACTTAGCCAGGCCCTCGTTTGCCCGGGGTCTGGAGTCTGAGCCGGCTGGCACTGGCCACCTTGGAGGCCGGCGTCCCCGGGCCGCTTCTCTTCCCGGGCTCCTTCCTTTCCTGGGCTCCGGAGGGGGTCAGACCTCCCCCGATGCTAATGGCTTGGCTGTCAGAGCGTCGGAAGGACAGCTGGTACTCATGAGCTCTCCAGAGAGCCCCCGTCACTAAAGGCTGAGGGAGACCCCTGAGCCCGCGGAGCTCCAGGCCAAAGAGGGAATTCTAGGGCCGGGCCCAGGAGGCTGAAAATAAGGACAACAAAGTAACAGCTAACACTGAGTGAGCACTTTCTGTGTGCCAGGCACTGCTTTGAGCTCATTACCTGTAGTTGCTCACTTAATTCTCGCAGACATTTAATGAGGGAATATTATTACTGTTTTACAGATGAGGAAAGTGAAGCACAGAGGCCTTAAATCTCTCTGGGTCTCAGTTTCCTGAAAATCCAACACTTCTGAAGGAATACCAGGTGAGTCATAAATTATTTTACTGAAATAACATCTAAATCGTGAGTAAGTGGCAAAGTGTAGGAGTGAGACCAGGAAAATGTGTTTTCCGGATGCGCTGCAGTGGGACAATTACATTAGAAAAATTGCTGAAGAATCCAGAGGGAAAATGGCTTCTGAATCAGCTGCCCACGAATTTTCCTCTTAAAGCGCCCCCTGGTGGGAAGGGTGGGAAAGACCTCCGTCTTGGCCAACTTCTTTGGTGGTCAGCCCTGGAAGGGATGCCTTCCCAGCCTGTCGGTGGAAATACCAGGTTTGCCCGCAGCGTGAGAGAGCCGGTCCGTGCGGGCAAGGGCAGCTTGGCCCCTAGACATGCAGCTGGAGGGGTCAGTCACTGAGCCACCGTCCTGACTGTTGGCCCATTGAGAGGCCACTAAACAGAGGACTGTGCAGGCATTTGTGGCGTGTGAACCACGTGGCAGAGGCGATGTTGGGCAGAGGTGGAACTGGAGGCGGCTGGTGAGCAGTGGCTTGAAACTCCACAGCAGTCCCAGAACTGCTAACAACGTTAGAAACTCCAGCATCAGAGAGAAGACGACATAGCACAAAGCTGGGTCCCCATTTTGCCCCCACTTTGAATTTGGAAAGTTCTTCCTAGTGCTGAGACAAAGCCTGCCTCCCAAGAACCTCCTTCCTGGCTGAGAGCCCTGTTTCCAGGGGAGAGGGCCTCTGATGCCCCAGGATGGATGAGCTCATCAGATACTGTGCTGTGCGTGTGCGGGGGCGGGGGATCCCGGGGGCAGCCGGAGGTGGGTGTTGGCTCTGTTTCAGAGCTGCCTCTGCAGCTGGAGTTCAAACCGCCACCAGCTACTGCCTTGGGTGTGGCCATGGCTGTGGGAGCATTTTTGCTAGAGTCCTCACACCACCTTTTCAAGTCAGCAAATAGCTTTGAGGCTATTTGTCCTTGAGAATGGTGTACCCCCCTAGTAGGATGCAGGGACATTCAAGGCTATTGTTCCAGAAGAGCCCCTTCCTCACCAGTTCAGTGTTCAGCTCCAAGGCCCAGGTCTCCTGTGGTATCCTCTGCTCCGGCGGTTGGAGTCTCTACTCACATCACGTGCGATGGCTCTCACCACCTCGTGTTGACTTCAGCTTTCTCCCAGAGAAGCTGCCCTTGTTTGGGGCCAGCCGCACCCTCCATGCTAGCCGTCAACAATGTGATGTTAAGCCCTGGGGGGTGTTTTAAAGCTTGTATTTAATGATGTTGTAGAAGGAACATGAGCTTTGAAGTCAGGCCTGATTGTAAATCTCAGTAATATCATTTACCAGCTAAAGTGTCAAGGCAAATTTCCTCCTCTAGAAGCAGCGGTGGTGGCAATGGTGGGGAATATGGGGGACCGTGGAGAAGATGACAAGGACACCCATCATGGGACTTTTCACAAACAGGAGGCATGGGCCACCCAGACACCCGATTCTTCAGTGATGGTGGCCTCAGCAGGATCTCAGAATCTGCCCCCTAAACCTCCCTCCCCCCAGCACCGTCCAGTCCCCAGGGCCTTGCTTTGGCCTCAGGGACACTCTCGGTGATGTGACGGCCACTCCCTCCACTGCTGCAGGCCTTTCTCTGACTTGGTCCCAGAGTGACAGTCCCCCCACTGTTGGGGATTACATGACGGGAATCGCGGGGGACAACTTAGTGAGCAAAGAAAATGTTTAAAGGAACAGCAGCTAATACGTTTGAGGGATGTCTAAAGAGTCAGATGATTAAGTCTGGGAAGGAAAAGACTGTAGAAGGAACTGGTGAAAGACAGATTGAGAATTCAGTTCAGCCCTGGGAGAATTTCCTGTGGATGGAAGTGTCAGAGAGGGAAGCTGAGGCGCTCAGGGGTCGCCGTCAGTAAGAACCCTGAAGCCAGACTGCTCGGGGGCTCATCCCAGCTCTTCCACTTGTGAGCCTGGCCTTGGTCCCTCTGTGCCTCAGTTTCCTCATCTGTAGAATGGACATAGTCATACCCCCTTGGAGGGCTGTTATAAGGATTAGGTGAATTACTGACCTGTGGTGAGTGCTCTGAAAGACTCGCTAGCATTATTTTTCCTTTGAAATGAAAACTTAGAGAATTGAGGAGCATGAGCAGGGGGACCATAGGGACCATTTCTTTTACAGGTGAGGAATCCGAGCCCAGAGAGCTGTTCTCCCGATCACCCCCGGACAGATGCTCCGGCCTCTTGCCCACCACCAGCTCCTCTCTTTCCAAGTTGTCAGGACAGCTTCCACTGCGCTCCTGGGAGTCTGGGTCTTGTCATGGCAGCTGGGCAGGGTCACCTGGCTTGTCTGTGCATCAGTCAGGGTGCTTGGGATGGACAATCCAACTCAAAATAGTTTAAGGGGGAAAAAAAGGTCAGTGCTCATGTAACAGGAATTCTGGGGGGCCTTCAGGCACGGGTGGATCCGGGGCCTGACCCGACTCCATCAGGACGCTGTCTCTCCTGTGTGTTCCTGCGGGTGGGCTTCATTCTCACCCAGGTAGGCTCTCCTCGTGGGGGGCAAGGGTGACCACCTGCAACTAGGAGCTTACACTGTCCTCGTGTTTTAAAATGTTGGGTTTATTATTAGATCTGGCGAGGCCAACAGATCAGGAGACAATTGCCACCGAAGAGTTAGTTTTTCTCCCGTTCCCGAGAGGACGGAGCTCAGTATGCTTGCGGGGCCATCCGGGGAGGCTGCACAGTCGAGGCAGAGGGCACAGCTGGGAAACAAACGTGGGCAAGAGCCTTCACTGTGGTTTTTGTGGGAAGGAACTGGGTGAGCCAGGGAAGCAGGTTAAGCAAGGATGGGCTGTTTTGAATAATTTCAGGGGGCTCTTGGGTCAAGGGGCTGCCCATAGGTGTCTGACATCAGGCCCTGGGGTGATTAGGGCAGGGAGACAGTGGCCCTGAGTGGGAGAGCCAATGAAGGAGGCTGTTGGGGGTGTGGGCTCTGCCTGGTTAGTCTGCATGTGAAAGTCTCACTAGTTTACTGTCTCTAGGAACTGGCTAGCCCTGGGAGGGGCAATCTTGCCAGGCCCAGATATCAAAGCATCAGAAACACAGAAAATTGAAACAAATAAACAAACATCACTTACAACTATCAACGCCAGTAAAGAACTTGCCTTTCTCCATGTCACCCGCTGACACCTGGGAGTGGCTCTGATTGGCCCACTTGTGTGATATGCTCAAACTGCAACGCTGGAGAGGATGTGGAGAAATTGGATCTCTCATCCTTTGTTGGTAGGAACAGTCGGAACACGGTCTGGCGGTTTCTTTAAAAACTCAGTACTTAGCATATGACCCAGCGGTGTCACCTTTATCCCAGAGAAGTGAAAGCTTATGTCCGCGCAGAAACCCGTACACAAATGTTCGTAACAGTCTATTTGGAATAGTCCCCTCAAAGTCAACCTCAAAATGTCACACAGTGTCTGATTCTATTTATACCACCTTCTTGAACGACAAAACTGGGGAGATGGAGAAGAGATTCCTGGTTGCCAGGGGTTAGGGGTGAGGGTGAGTGGGTGGGAGGGTAGCCCAAGGGAAAGCTTTGTGGGCTGGGATGGTTATCTTGAATGGGGTGGTGGTTGCAGGGACCTGTACGTGTGATAAATGGCATAGCGCTACCCACACATTGTAGCAATGTCAAATCCTGGCTTTGATGTATTTGATATGCTAGAGTTATGTAAGATGTCATCATTGTGGGGGACTGGGTGAAAGATACATAGGACCTCTCTGTCCTATTTTTGCAACTTCCTAAGAGTCTATAATTTAAAAATGAAAAGTAAAGAGATCTTAAAGAACTCAGCTCTGAGGGGAAATAAAAACTTTCTGGGGGGCTCCAGCCATGTTAGGTCAATGAACAGTCACAGTTGCCTGGAGGGGGATGTATGTGGGTCCTGACTCTGTTTTCCTGCCTGTGTCCTAGGAGAATAAAGTCTCTGTTTTGCTCTCCCATCGACCCCAGTTGCAGCCATGATTGTGCTGTGTGATGCGCTTTAGAGATAATGAACTTGGTGAGCTTTAGAAATAAAGACCATGGGTCTATAGAAGCAAAATTGGTGATGGAATTTTCTGTATCCACCCCAAATGAATCCTACCTGACAGACTGGAAAACATTGATAATGTTCAGTAAAACAGTTAGGAGACAAGCTTAAGTGCCCTGTAATATAGTAACCATACACAAATTGCCTGGGAATCAAAGCAGGAAGAGAAGAGGCACAACTGAATGTATCTGTGCTTTGACAGCAGTAGAATTAAGGGTACCTGTCCCTCATCTGCTTTTTAAACTGTTTATGAAGTTGTTTGTGGTATTCTTCTTTATTTTAAATTTCACTTTATTATTTAAATGGATGCCTTGAGATACACTCTTTCTCCCTTGCCCCCCAGCAACCACTTTTGATTAGCGTCTTGTGTGCACTTCTGTATTTTCTTGAAGTAAATCCAAGCAAGCCTGAATAATATTCTTATTTTTCCTCATTCTCCTGGAAAAGTAGAGGACTAAACACACTGTCTCTGCTCCTTTTCTCACTGAGGGATTTTTTTCAAATCCCTGTGTGACACTTTTTTTCTAAACAAAGGAGGGAAAACCAAACAAGCAAATAGAAGCATAAATGCTGTGACTGCGAACAGAGCAAGTGAGCTCAGTCCTGCCCTTAGAGGCTCCCTGGCTGGGCAGAGAGCAGGCCACCTACCCTCGCTTCCCATCTTTCTCCGCCTTGTTTCCGAGTGAAATGAAGGACTCTCATCCTTTGCCATTTACCTGGCAGGCATTGCTCCCCCACCTCGGCAGCTGGGCAAGTATGTTTCCGTGTTAGTTCATCAGGTTTGGGGACAGACGCGAATGGGCATCTGCTAGCTGTGCCCTTGCCATTTGCTGTCCCCCCCCCAAAGTAAGTAATTTTGAACCATGCAAGCAGCCCTGGTCATAGCCGAAACCCACTTCCCTCCCCTTTCCTCCCCTACCAAGGCAGCCTGCCCTCTTCTGCCTGTTCTTTTG